TATCAAAATCGTTTTCAAACATTGCGAGGCAAGTTGCATGAAAAATTTCACCTTGCAACAGGGCCTTTCTACTCTGTACAATGCGTCATGCAACCTGTCTCGCAACGATTTTGACCATTGCAAGGCATGTTAAACGTTGCAATGACTCGTGCAACTTGACGCTCGCAACGCCATTGCGAGACAAGTTGCATGAAAAATTGCACTGTGTAACAGGGCCTTAAGGACGAAAGCGGAGTAATATTCATTCATATGCAATATTAGTAGGTAACCCCCCCCATCCACCACCGGAAGTGATTCAAGCGAATGACGTCAACAGGGGAGTACGTCCGGGCGTTCGTACTTAGCGTACGTACTTAGCGTACGTACTTAGCGTGCGTCCAAGCGTACGTCCAAGCGTTCGTACTTAGTGTACGTCCAGTTTTAGTAAGCATTACGTAATTGTATTGCACTTGTCCTGACCAAGTATGCGTTCTTCAAGGTCGAATAATGTTGACGAAGTTTCGCCTATGGAATTTCGGAAGCTATGCAATTTGTTAGAGACAATATTTGCACAAACTGTTTCTTGCGAGGTTTATGAGCTTTTCGAAGAGAGGTGCTGTGGTTGTAAACTAAATCGCTTTAGTCAGAATGAGTGTCTTATGTTATCGTATGAGGAGAGATCGCAGATGTATAACTTTGTAACTGCAAAGAGGATTGTTGTGATGACCCACTTGAACCTGGGGCTACGGTCTTTTTTTCAATGCCCCCTAGTTTTAAGTATACTGTGAAAGCGACAGGCGAGCAATTTAGAAGTCATGAAGAAGATCATTATAAGGCATATGTGGAATATTTGAGAAGTAAACTTTGAGATTCAGAGTAAATATGTTAATAATCGAGTTTCGTTTTTATTCTTTTTTGTAAAATTGGTGGTTCTTAAAAGAACCGGTGTTTTGGGTTTGTCTTTACTGTTGCAGCCACATCGCAAAAGCCTCTACTTCCACTTTTGCGCAGTGTTGATAAGCGTTGCTTTCCAGGTGGTTCCCACAGGTTTCTAACCAGATCAATTGATCAAATAGTTTTTCAGCTTTGGGACAATTAAAGCATTCCAAATTTACGGCCGGAATGCGGAGACTCGCCAGCAAGTCCCTTTCGTAATGTCCGCCTTTGAACGCAATTGTAGAGTTTGAATCTATCTGTATTTCACGGTAGAAATTCTCTACAATTGCCTGCAAGTCCGAAATTTGAAATGCTTTAGTGCCCCGTGGCACTCCAAACGGGAGTTTATGTATATTCTTCTGGACCAAGTTACACGTTCTCTTGTCGATCTTTCTCGTTGAGCTCGTTCCAGTGTAAACCAATATCGAAAAAGAACGACGAGGCTTCAGAGTCTCCGACCTTTATGACTCCCAACTCCTTACAGAAAAATTTCTTTCCAATTTGAAATCCGTCCATGTCAAGGATCCCAACGATGTCTGCTTTACACTGCATGTTGACTGATTGATTGTGATGTGAATTAGATTGTTTGAAACACTAATCTGCGTTCTTTCGTGCGATATAACTATCGCGTGTACAAAACGTTAATCCATGTGTTAATTTATGCATGCAGTCAACCAACGCGGTAGCTTTGGCAACAATAATTTGCTCTTAAAATCAGTGCGATTTATATAGGGACACTTGTCAAAGTGTCCCGCAAGCAAGTCCCGGGCGTCCCGTAGAAACGTCCCTGCGTCCCGTGCGTATGAGCACATCCTTATAACTGCTCATGAGCACATGCTCATCTGCTCATAAAACTGCAATACTGCTCAATAGCAAGACATTTCTGCACAGTCAGTGCTAACGGAATGAGCTGTCAATTTTGCGGAAAGCAATTTAATCGTGGTTACAATCTACGAAGACACGAAAAGGAATACTGTCCCCTAGGTGCACAAGAAAGAAACATGTCTCAAACGGACTTGGATAGCCAGGAAAGGGATTTTCAAGACGACGTTTCGACAACTTCAACTGAAGTGTCTGAAATTTCGACGATGACTGATAATGAGTCAGAAACTGAAGAGGAAATGGATCCTTGGATACCGTTAATAGAAGAAGCAAAGCAAATAAGTAATATAGCATTTGAGGAAATGAAAGAAAGCCTTATCAACAGTGGTCTAGATGAACAATCCGCTAAGGACAAAGCTTACTCTAATATTCTTCCTAAACTCCAGAAGGAACTGGAAAATATTTATATGGAGCGTCTCGTGTGGATGAAACAGCTAAAGAGAGATCCAGTTCATAAGAAGATTATGCACACAAAAAATGCACTTGTGGAAAACGATGATTTTGATCCAGAAGAAGCGTTAGAAGCAGCTGTTGATATGAGAAAGTTTCTTATAAAAAGGCTTTTAAAGGGTCACAAATTTGATGAGGAAAATGCTGATGATGATGAAGAGAATGATGATTAGACTCGATTAATAGGATTGAAGTCATGTATTCGAACAGTATTAGCACGTAAAAACATACAAGTATAGACCCAACATGTAAATTGTGAGTCACTCAATAAATTGCTTTTTAATTACTTGTCTTTTCTTGTCATTTTTACATGGGTCAGGCGGGTGCAAATCAAAATGGCAAAAACATGCGAATACGAAAATGTATACATTTGTGTACATAAACTTTGCAGTGGCTTCCACGAAAAATGTACACCCAGTCTTCGGGCCTAAACGGGTCTTATGAGCAGATGAGCATGTGTTCATGAGCAGTTATGAGCAGGTGCTCACACGTTCATGCAGGATGAGCATGTGAGCATGTGCTCATGAGCAACTATGAGCATGTGCTCATACGCTGATTTCGTGTTTACGGAGATCTTATACCGTCAAATTCAGAAACTGGAAGAGGAGACACGCATAAATCAAGATGAAATTGATGGTAATCAATGGTCCTGGTTTGGACAGCGGATTGAAGGTTTAGATGAAGAAGAGCGCTGGATGAATTACGCTGAACAGGCTCTGGCAATGCTGAATCATGAAGTGATGTGGCAAGCAATCGTTGAAGCATGCAAGATGTTAAAGTATCCTGAACCATCAGAAACACAAAGAGATTATTTTGAAAAACTTTTTGACATATTATGTTTTGTTTGGCATCAAATATATTCTGAGTTCGAAAGAACTGTTCCTCTAAACAATCTCATGGACTACATTAGCTGTGTTTGTAAATTAAAATACAATTCAACCATATAATGTATTTAAGAAATATATCATTTTAAAACGTATTGTGTTGTTGTCTTTTTCTTTATTCCATGCTGTTACTTGCAGTATCAGTATCTATTTTAACCATGGTGCTATAGTAGGACTGATGATAAAGTCAAGAGAAACAAGGATCATAATAGACAGAAAATGTTCAGATTTGGCATTAGCTTTGGTCGTAATGATTTAAATCTGGAGGGCCATTTTCCAATGGGGTACAATAGCAAGACAATTAAGAATTATGGACCCATTGAAAAGCGGTTGGTTCTCCCAGAAAATTTACTTTCAACAATAACAGAATCAAAAGAGCAGATAGTGCTGACTTCAAGGTCGGATACTGAAGCAACTTAGGCGTAGTGTTATATTGAAAAGACATCATGTAACTGGTAAATAGAACAATGTGTTCATGGCGTTTGATTTCGTTTTATGTAACCTATATGGGTCTAGCCATAAGAACAGTCTTACGGGACGCAAGGACACGTTAAAATGCGTCCCGTAAGGACGTCCCGTGCGTCCCGCATATAGGGACACCTCTCAAAGTGTCCCGCAAGCAAGTCCCGGGCGTCCCGTAGCAATGTCCCTGCGTCCCGCATATAGGGACACACTCAAAGTGTCCCGCAAGCAAGTCCCGGGCGTCCCGTAAGAAAGTCCCTGCGTCCCGCATATAGGGACACATCTCAAGTGTCCCGCAAGCAAGTCCCGTGCGTCCCGTAGCAATGTCCCTGCGTCCCGCATATAGGGACACACTCGAAGTGTCCCGCAAGCAAGTCCCGGGCGTCCCGTAAGAAAGTCCCTGCGTCCCGCATATAGGGACACATCTCAAGTGTCCCGCAAGCAAGTCCCGTGCGTCCCGTAGGTTTTCTCTGTGAAAGCAGCGTAAAGAGTACGTCAAGCTATATCTTTCGAGCCGATTTATACTTGATGTTTATTGACGATAAACCTAGTGTACAGCGGCCCCCCATAAACGTAGTGTAAAGTGAGTTGAATCACGCGCACATCATGTTCGTCCGCGTACGAGCTTAATTCAACGCTTAACCTTTGCGTGCGACCTTTCCGTGCGACGCCACACTGCGCGGGGGCACAAACAGGAAGAAAACTCAATTAGTGCCTTGAATCAATTAAAGTGCCTATATCAGGGTCAGGGAAATGACTTTTCCTGATAGTTTAGACGATTTTAAGAACATTTGTAATATATTTGACAAGACGAAAATTTGATCTTCATGGACTTTTTGGGCCTCAAAGTTGCGGATTTTGGCAAAATTTTTTGTTTGACCGTGAGATACAATTACTGGTAACTGTTGTGTTGTGAGGCGGAAGTGACGTAAGAATGAGAAGACATGCTTTCATAGCAATAGGACATTCATAGTAAAACAGCAACATTGAACACTTTATCCTTTTTAAAAACACGAGAAAAGAATATTTTATCGGTTTTTTGTTTATTTCGCTGAACGTACATGGTTCAGATATGCCGCGTAGGTGTGTAGTATATGGTGTTCCAACATTACTAGCCAAAATGAAGGAATATCGCTGCACAATATTCCGTATGCGAATGACTATCGGCCAGAGGCAAAAAAGCGAAGGAAAAGATGGGTTGACTTTGTAAAACGAAAGAGACTGAACTTCGAACCAACAGCTTCATCGAAGATATGCTCAAGACATTTTATGGTCGAAGATTTTGTGAGACCATTCGCTGTTGGTTTGACGACTGAGAAACCAAAATTGAAACAGCAGCAGCTACTATTAAAGACAGACAACTTTGGTATCTGCGTGTATCCGACGATTTTAGTCTTGGGCGATGAAATGAAACTTTTATCCGCAAGAGATCGCCGACATTCTGTAAGTAATGCATTTAGTAATTATGTTTTTACTATTGCCAGTTGTCAGTCCTTAATTTCGTTCAATGTGAATATGTTATATAAGAATGCATAATAAATCGTGCCATATATATTCATTAAAATTATATGTATTCATTATACCTAACAGGTGATAAATGCTAAGCGGTCAAGTACGTTGCTAAAAGAAGAAGGTGAACCCTCCACCTCGACTGAACAAGGTGAAACCTCGACAATGGCTGAAGTTTTATATACTGACAAAGGTGAACCCTCTACTTCAACATTGGCTGATCAAGATGAACCCTCAACATGGCCTGGGCCTAGTGGTACAGAGGATACATTTGTCCAAGCAATTGACCAGGTTGGTAAATATCTGTCTGTATAATTGGATTCTAAACACTTGAAAGATAAGTTGTAAACTAATGTATTTACTTAATATTATTTTATTTTAGACTAGCACACGTGATAATACAAAAGATGGTTGGTGCCAAACTGTTGAAGTTGCTTGTAAAAATTGCACAAAGCTGAAATCAGAGCTATTGCGATTGAAGCAGACAATACAGTATTACCAATCCAAATTAAATTTTTGTAAGTCACCAATCATTATTTTATATCACTTAGCCACATTAATTTCAAGTGCTATAATATTAAAAAATTATGAGTATAGCTTTATTTACTTTTGTAATATAGCATTTGTAAAATCCGAATGCTGATTGGCTAAGAGCCATGTTGATATAACTCAACATCTACACAGGAAAGTCGGAAAATTTCTTTCTTTGTATTTCTATGTGCTATATTATAGACACTCGTAGAAATTGGGAAAACTCAAAATTGTGTGAAAACACTCCGCCCTTCGGGTTCTTGTTTCCACAAAATTTCTTGTTTTCCCAATTCCACTCATGTTGATATAACTGTATATCAAAATGGAAAATGTTTTATATTTGTTAAATAATTTATGTATAAACTTAATAGATGATGAAAAGTTCTGTGATGATCATGATGTTGGCACAATCAGTACAACCCGTGAAGACAGTGACGATGATGCCGGAGATACTGATAGTGAAGATGACAGCAATGATGATGATTTGTTGGAGCCATCTTCTCAAACAGAGACAGAAGAAGAACCAATGATGGTGGACGAAACAGTTTCAAGTGATACAGAGCCAGAGGATGAAAATGTGACATATGGTAAAAGGTGTGCAAATAGTTAATGCAATCATTAAAAAGTACTTTTAAAATGTTTTTGGGCAATATATATACTGTACAAAGTGTTGTGTTTATTTAATTAAATGAATAATATTCTTAACTTTATCCTTATAGCATTTTTGCTAGTAATAAAAACCTCATGATGGAACCGAAGTTTGTTGTCTTCCTCTCGCAACTGTTGGAACTATTCAAAGTTTGTGCAACATGCAAGAAGCCTGATGTGCTGGTAGAAGTGAAAGAGTTTGGCACAATGGTTCAAGTTGAGACGACGTGCAACAACAAAAGATGTTCAGAGCGAAATATAGTCTGGAAAAGTCAACCATTGATGCCTGGCACTTTAACGTCAGCAGGAAATCTACTGTTGTCATTTGCAATTCTAGTTGCTGGTGGATCTGCTAGCAAAACGATTAGGATTTTTGAACACATGGGATTGGGTTGCAGGGCATTTAGGCTAGTACTTGCCATGGAGAAGAAGCAAAAAGAAGCCGAGCGCTCACGAAGAAATCGTAGGAAACGAAAAAGTGAATTCGAAAGATATAAGGAATTCTATGAGTATGCGTATGAGTATTCTACTGAGAACAACATGCCATTTGTGCAAGAATTTGAAGCAAAACGGCAGCGTCGTCAGCAGCAAGAGGAAACAGTCATAGAGCCAATGGCTAGAAGAGCAACAACCGGAGACGAGTAGTTCGGCAGTGGTAGACGATATAGACGATATATTAGATGTTGACTTCAGCGGTTTTGAGTGGTAAAAAGAAGAAACAAAAACACCGGCTCTTTTAAGAGCCACTACTTTTACAAAAAGAATATTGAACAAAACTCGATGTTCATGCATTCACATCTTGTATACATGCACGCTCCCTCTGAATTTACATTGCTAAAACACACACATACACTAACACACAGTGTTTTAAACATCCTATAATTCACACATAAACTAATACAGAAAGTTATGTTTTAAACAAAATTTATAAGCATTTAAACAAAATTTATAAAGCGTCTTAAAGCAAAAGCTTGAACTCCTCAAGTTCATCAAGAGTCGCTTCATGATCCTTCCCAAAGTTTTAAAATGTTCCGATGCTGGCTCAAAAGGGAGATAAGGGGCCGACCATTTAACTTTTGAGGGGGGGTGGGGTGATTTTGCAAAAAAAATTCCTGCAAGGCTATTCTGGACAAAAAAAAGTACCTGCACTAACAAACTGGGGAAAAAAATATCCTGCCCCAGTATTTGGTGGGAAAAAAAATGTTGCAAAACAGCATGGTTGCAGGGATCGATTTGACCAGTCCCAGAAGATGAGCTGGTTTGATTTTCAGGGACTGATGTAAGGTTAATTTCTTGTTGGAAAACTCCTCAAAATGCTGGAAATAGCTTATCTGAGCTTCAAAAAATCCAAAATTTTCTGGGGGGCATGCCCCCAGACCCCTCTAGAGGCTCGCACCTTCGGTGGTCGACTCAGTTGTTGCTGCCCTATGACGTATACTTATTAGTTAAACCATGCATATATATGCTGTAGGTAGCTGCAGTGATACAGACAGGGCTGTAGCAAGGGGGGTATTGGGGGTGGTTAACCCCCCCCCCCAACTTTTTTAGAATCAACATATTCAGAAAATCGGGTTGGCCATTCGGAAAATTACGGCAATTATTTAATAGTAGAACAAAATTTTAGTTGTTAAACAGAGAAAATATTATAAAATTGTATTGTCACTATAAATTGTAAGCAAATTGTAAATTTCGTCATACTAAAACGCTTTTTTCTGACCATCAGCATTCTGTCAAAACTTCCCCAAAGTCCAGGAAATGGCATTTCAGAGACTCGAAATTTAAAAATTTCCTCCGGCCTCCGGCCCTCGTTTTCTGCCCCCAATAAACAAAAGCTCCCTACCGCACTGCTTCCGTAATATGTCTGTGCGTAAATTATGCATATTTTTGTTAATTGTAAATTGCGTCTTCATTTTCCGAATAGCAAACACCTTCATGGCTATTAATAGTATGCCATGATATATTCGAAAATTATTTTCGTCATTCGGAAATTTTTGGCCTACCCCCCCCCCCCAACTATACATGCTAGCTATGGCCCTGGATACAGACTTGCCGACTGGAACTTCTCCAGGTCCCCCGCTAATTATGTCCTCTCCAGTTGCACATCCTTAAAAAAGGCACTGAACCAAATGTTATACCTCATAGCAAAATGTATTATTAAGAGCAATGCATGAAGCTAAAAAACTCAACGTTAACTATAATCTAAATAGTATAAGCTATTGAAAAAAAAATGCTGCGAAAGAAAGTGTGGCAAAAAAAAAATCGTACATGGTGATGGTGATAAAAAAAATATCTTGCACATAACGATCCCAGAAAAAAAATTCCCTGCCAGCAGTAAATCACCCACCCCTCCCCTCAAAAGTTAAATGGTCGGCCCCTAAAGGAGCAACACGTTTTCCTACTGATTTTAAGAGCAAAATATTATTGCCAAAGCTACCGCGTTCAGGCTGACTGCATGCATAAATTAACACATGGATTAACCTTTGTACCGACGCGACAGTTATATCGCACGCAAGAACACAGATTCAGGGCATTTTTTAAGAATTCGTCAGGGGGGGGGCCATCTACAAAAAGGGACCATACCATACCGAGTGTGGAGCAATGATAGATGGTTTGTTGGTAACAAAAAGTTTGGTGTGGTATCGCATTTAATAGTAGGGGGGGTGAGAGCAGGGCCTTAGGAAGCTCTTTTCGTTTGGGGGGGGGGGCTGAAAGCGAGGGCCGAAGGCCCGAGGAAATTTTTAAATTTAGAGTCTCTGAAATGCCATTTCCTGGACTTTGGGGAAGATTTGACAGATTTCTGATTGTCAGAATACAGCGTTTTTAGTATGTGGAAATTTAGAATTCAGTAGTACTAAATGGACGAAGGTGTATTTAATTAACAATATATTAGATAAGTTGCAGGAAAGTATGGGTAATATCTTCATTCTTTGCAGTTTGTCATGGATTAAATAATAAAGGTCTGCATGATTTTAAAAAATGAATGATTATTAGCAAATTACTGGGGGGCTGCAACCCCCCAGCCCCCCCCCCCACACCGGGCGCGGTTGCTACGGCCCTGGAGAGGGTCTGGGGTTTTCTCCCCCAGAAACGTTTTGTATTTTTCTACCCCTATGACTGCAATTCCCTGCATTTTCTGAAACAGATTTTTGGATATACAGCATTACATTATGCTGTAGATAGACTGAACCTGCAGTTAAGTACTTGCATAGTATGTTTATGTAGATACCACAACTTGGCAGTCACTTGGGGAGCCAGCTTGATAAACTTAGAGTTCCCGACTCCCACGAAGCGCCACCATGGTTGGCACAGAGTGGAAAAATTTTGAAAATTTTGCGTCTCTAAATCATCGGAAATGGCATTTTCAAAGTCTTCTATACGTCTTTTGTTTGGCCTTTTCATTAATTCGTTCATTATGATTTGTGAGTCTATGAT